AAAAAAAAAAATCAGAATTTGGACTGCACCAACAAAAATTGATAGAGATCATGGTGTCAGGAACAACTTACCACACAATCATTAACACATTCAGTGAATTCCCGGTTCCTCTCAACTGAGACATCCTTCTGAGGGGGCAGAAAGCACGAAGAATCAATTCCAGATGAACAGAAAAACCGCATGATCCTTGCCTGAGATTTCAGTGGTGATGCAGTTCCATCAACAACAAATACTGGAAAGGCTCCAAACTGCAAAAAAATTTCAAGAACATTATTCTCATTCCCATTCATACAATAAAGATAATAATTTTCCATTTTATTGCCACAATAGATATAAAGTCAGATACAGTAAAGCCAATTTCTTTCACTCAGAAGAGAAATTTTCATATTATACTGATTTAAGCAACAAACAAAGACAATGGTGGTAAGTTGATTAATTAAACAAAAACTTCCACTAGACTAAAAACCCAACACCATATTCGCTTAATTAAACAAGTTTATTCTATAAATCCTTGCATTCATTCTCCTAACAACCAGAACCCAGTAAAGCACCCAAAAGAAATTCCATCTTGTTCCTAAAAATAAAGGAAGCTAAAAAAGGCAAGTGGAATGCCTTGGAGAAGAGGTTGATGGTACGGAAGAATGTAAGCATGAGATGGGGATTGTGGCAATAGGCCTTGATGGTGGTCTCGTGCTGTACTATCCAGAATGAGAGATCCACAGCAACCCGCTTGTCCCTCAGGTAATCAAACCCTTCATGGCGCCCGTAGGGTTTTAGAAGTTCCCAAAATTTGCCTCCCACACCCATTATTACCCTTCACTATTTACGTTATACCAACAATCCATGCGAAGATTTCAGATGTTCAATATTGCTTCTTTGGCTCTGAATCATTTTTCTTGCAGTGAGAGAGAGAGGGCATGACAGTTTCAGAGCGTGTAAAGGAAGAGACGAAGCAGAAAAATGGGTTTTGGGAGAGATCCGACCGTTGAGGTTTCGCGGGTTGAATAGAAAGATGGTATGGGATTTTATCCCTCCGGCCCTTCGTCGTCTGGCCCGTCGTCCTCTTCTTCATCCTTTTTCATTTTCTTACCCAGGTTTTGGGCTTTCAGAAAAGTCTCAAATTCAGCTTCCCTTCGCATAAATTCAGCTTCACCTCGCACCGTATCATCTCCCAATCGCATAAATTCAACTTCCATTTCAATATATTTAGCTTCCCCTGGTGTCAGTTCAGCTTCCTTTTGCATACATTCAGCTTCCTTTTGCACACATTCAGCTTCCTTTTGCATACATTCAGCTTCCCTTCGCAAAAATTCACCTCTCTTTCACCGAAATTCACCTTTCTTTTGCATATATTCAGCTTTCATTCGCCGAAATTCCCAAGTTGCAGCTGCAAACCAAAAAACAGGAAAATCAGGAAAACAAAATTATGGCAAAGTTTTCCCATCCTTTAGCAAAATTAATCCAAAAGGAATAAACAAAAGGTGAATTCAGCTACCCTTCGCATAAATTCAGCGTCATTTTGCATCATATTAGCATAAAATCGCATAGATTCAACATCCATTTCCATACATTTAGCTTCCCCTGGTGTCATCAATTCAGCTTCCTTTAGCAAAAATTCAGCTTGCTTTCGCATAAATTCAGCTTCCCTTCGCAAAAATTCAGCTTCCCTTCGCAAAAATTCAGCTTCACTTTCCATACATTCAGCTTCCGCTGGTGTAAATT